CGGCCGGGGGCGGCACCGCCGGCGGCGGCACGGACGGGGGCGGGCCTGCGCAGCCTGCGCGCGGCCGTGGCGGCGAGCGGAACGTGGCCGGGGCGGAGGGCGGGGAAGACAGCTCGTCCAGGTCCGTCAGCACTGGAGCCGCACGAAAACAAAACAGGAGAGAAGATAAACTCGACTGAAATTTCAGCCAACCCGCTGAAAACCATCTCAGTGCGTTCTACGCCAAGGAATAAAATCTGGAGAAGTTCTCCAAAAATAAAATAAAAAGAAACCACCAAAATTAAAAGAACATGATGACTGTCAAGAAACCGTTTAAGTGCCGCTTGAAACATTCTCATCGTTATGGTCCACGATCTCCCAGCTACTCACTGTGTTGTCTACGCTGATGGAGCTGCTGCGGCCGCCAGTCGTCCTCCTCCTGCTCCCGGCTTCGCTCTCGCTCGCGCTCCCGCTCCTGGTCCCGCTCCCGCTCGCGCTCCTGGTGCTCGTGCTCCTCGAGACGCCGCCGGAGCAGCACCTCTACGCCGGGGGACATGGACAGCTGCGAACCTGGCGGACGAGCACAAGACAAGACACCGGTCAGACCCGCGAGCACGATGGGCTGCCTGCCCTCCGGGCGCAGGCCCTCCGAACGAACAGGAAAACGTCAAGAATAGGTCAAACAATTCAAATTGACGTCAAAATAGCCAGTTTTCAGCCAAAATTTTTGAATTGTTGTAGTCAGGACGACGTTGATACGACGCTCTCGTTACGTTTTACTGATTGTTGGGCTACTTTCCCTCATTTCACTCAAGAGTTAGTTTGAAAATTGAACTTCGTATAAACGAAACAGCTCTTGTCTGTATACAGATTTGTCGTAGAGAGCCGACAAAAATGTGTGTATATCTTTAATTTTTTTTAAAATATTTCAATCATTTTTCTGTTTAAACACACTCATGCAAACGCACCCTCTCGCTGCAGGGAGTGCTTCCAGTCCACGGGGTGTCTCTCGTACAGCGCTCGCCGCCGCTCCTTGCTCGCCATGGTGCACTCCTGCAACAAGAGAAAGAGTCGAAAACTCTCGTCAGCAAACAGTTAGTTAGCGATCTTTTTGGCGCGAGAGAATTTATTGTCGTATCCTTCACCCCGCAGTCATTTCGCCGCTGGACCCTCGGCAGCACGAACCCGCCGCGCTGCGTAAATGAGAGGAGATACTAGTTTTCCAGCTCAGCGGAAGCCGCCGTTTGATGTTACTGCAAAAAGTCGCAGAACGGGGGGCACTTCCAATTGAACTCTTTCGCGATCAATTTCCGCGATTGGTCCGTTCAACCCGGTTCCACCCCGCCGCCGCCACGGTGCGAGGCCCCCCTCCGCCCGGCCCAGCCCGCTCCACGACGAGGCGAAGGAGGTGGCCGGAAGCCTCCAGGCCACTTCTCCAGAAAGGAGTCCTTGAAACTAGACTGGAAACCCGCGACAGCAGGAAACCCTTTCCGTCTCTATTCCAGCCGGCCGAGAGGAAGTAAAAGCGGTGGCGGCCGCGCGCGCACCCCGTCCTGAAGGTCCTGAAGGTCCTAAACGTCCTGAAGGTCCTGAAGGTCCTTCGCCCCCTTTAATGTGCTGCCGCTCGCTTCCCTCGACAAATAACTGTTTGGAAGCGCCAGGTAAAATCTTTTTTCTTTTATTTTTCGCTGCTCGCAAACGTCTTTGTTGGCGCGAGCCTAACGAGGAAGGGCCTCGGGCGGCGGCGCTTCTCGACCCTTCGCCGTCGAGGCCCTTTGCGCCGCCGCCCTGGTCCCGCCAGCAGCGTCCGATCGCCTGCTCCTCCGCGCCAGCAGCTGCCAGGGTCAAAGGATATGCCTTTGGCTCGGCCCGCGCGTGCCCGTGGCGTGCGCGGCTCGCGTGCTGAACGAAGATCAATCAAACAATGTGTGTGTCCTAGTGTGTGTGTGAGTGCGCGCGCGAGCACTCTTTGAGTTTCCCTTACACACTATTTTTCAATATTGGATATTGTGCCACCCCCCATAGATTTATCGATGACGGGGACGTTACGTTGACGTCGTTACCGCGATAAAGTCATCCAATTGACGTTTAACGATTGGGCACCACTAACAGTTAATACAGTTGTTAACTGATTGAAATCATGCCCTCAAAGACATGTAAGTACATTTACGTTTTATGTAGAGCGGGGCAGTCAACAAAGTTATGCAGCGCTCTCATTTCGTAACCATCCGGTCCGTTACTTTTATTCGTCTTCTCATATATAATCTTTTCCACGCTTTCAACCTGCGTTCGACAGGGGGCGTTTATAACGTTATTACGTCTCGTTGGTTTGTTTTGCGTGTGTTTTCCTACCTCCTCTTTCTCGACGAAACTTTCTTTGGTCCGCAAAACCCGGTGTGCGCTTGCGCACCCACGCACTCGCGCTCCGCGGCCCGTGCCGTGCCTTTAAGCCGCGGGTGGATTATATCCACGCAACGCACTAAGCCGGCTCACCACCCCGCCCCACCTCGCCCCGCCCCGCTCCGCCCC